TTTTATCTTCCATAAAATTGCAAATCAATAGCAATGAATATACGTACATACAGTTCAATAACATTCATTCTAAAGATCACACATTAGGATTTCTTGCACAGAGTTGAAAGTTTACATGGTTGGCAAAGGTAAGGAATTGGACAGGAAAAAAAACTTCTTCATGGTCAGGGAAAATTGGCCTTTTGAAGAAAATTTAGGGAAAATTCAAGTAAGTTAACACAGCTGATTTTATACCAGTGAAGGGTGGAAGAAACATTTGGCTTCACTGTGAGTCTATCAGTCTTAAGTAAATGAATGAGTAGAAAGGACGGCTGTGGGGAGGCTACAGGCAGCTACCGTATCTTATATTTTGTATCTGTTTGGTCAGGGAATCTATATTTTAATCAGGAAAATGTCAGGGAATTTTGAAAAGTGATGTTTGTGGCAACCATGACTTAAAACCTCTTTGTGCATGTACGGCATAACAAACAAAAAATATGTTTCACAACTGACTGGGTTTTGTTTTCAAATTATAACATTAGATTTTTTTTTTTTTTTATCTTGAAAGATGACTTTTGTAGTTTATACTTTGTCTTCTTTTCCCAAACAGTCATTTGGAAATAGCACAGCAGTTGCTGTACCAGGGGAACCAGAAAACAATGAAAACAGCTGTTTAGTAACTATTGGAAAACTTCAACCAACGAGTGTGCCGCAGAGCAGTGACTTGATGGAGAATCCCCCAGTGATGGAGTTTGTCTCCAGACACAGTTTGGATGGCAAGTTCACTTTCGTTGATCAGAGGTGAGGGAAATACTGTCTTGTGGCTTTGTTGAAACCAGATTGCCAGTAATTACAATTGGTCAGTCACAAAATATATGTATAGAGCAGTTTTCAAATGAGTGTTGAAAGTAATCAGTCAATTACTTTGGTTTTGGTTTTGGTTTGAGATTGGCTTAGTAGTGTTATTGGTATGTAATTGGTTTGGTTTTGGTTTTGGTTTGAGATTGGCTTAGTAGTGTTATTGGTATGTAATTGGTTTGGTTTTGGTTTTAAGACACTCATTTGAAAACTGTTCTATCTGGTTGAATTGATTAAGTACTTGAACGTGCTCAGGTACCAAGCAAAACAGGGAGGTACAACTTCAATTAATTATGTTTGAGCAGTTCCATGTGGTGATCAAAATCATTCTAGCTATTTGTTTTGATTTTCTGTGAAGTTCCCATTGTTTTGCAACACCTTTGCATTCTTGTTCTTGCTACCTACCAGCTGACATGGTATTTTCTGTTGTGCAATTAATTTAAAAAAATTCAACTTGTTTTTTCCTTTTTGTTCAGCCCCTGCAAGTTTTTCTAGTTCATGAAACCCTAGCCTCTGGTTGCCAACTTCTAATTTGCTTATTGTGTTTTAGAGTGGTGGATGTCTTGGGTTACAAACCTCAAGAGCTTCTTAATGAACTGTGTTATGACTTCTTCCATCCTGATGATCTGGAACATATGATGGAAAGTTACCAACAAGGTAAGGACTGTTCTGTGGGACAAACAAGTGAATGAATGGACAAACAAACACATACGCACACATGAATGAACATATAGATGAACAAGGAACTTCTACCCATTGTATTTCTGGTCCCTGCGTTTGAATGTTGTTTGCTGTATTTTTCCTCCCATTCTCCAGTGTGCCTATATTCTTAGTAAAAGAATTTGCAAACAATATTGTGCAAAATAATGAAAGACTAATTCAATCACACGAAAGTACTACTCAATAGCTTCCATTTGAATGATGGTATAATAGGATTTCTTTCACAGACTTCAAAGTGCGCACCATGATTAATAGTACCACACCAAAGTACTGCTTGATAGCCTTCATTTGAATTTTAACATATGTGTATCCCAGCTTTTCTGGACTTCACAATTTTACAACTTCACTTTTAATCTCCAATAAGTATTGGTAAAAACATAAACAGTATTTGATGGAGGGTTTGGTTCTGGGAGTAATTTAGGCTTGGTTAACCACAATGTGTAGTTAAACTTGTTTGGTAGAAAAGTAAAGAAACCTGTTTTTCTTTTGTTTTCTGTTTTCTTCTATTTTCCAGTGATGAAACTGAAGGGCCAAACCCTGTCTGTGCGGTATAGATTCCGTGCTAAGGATGGAAACTGGGTGTGGCTAAGAACAAGTTGCAACAGTTTTCAGAATCCTTATACAGATGAAGCAGAGTACATTGTTTGCTCCAACTGCCTTGGCCAACAGTGAGTAAATAAAGTGCTTACATGTATATGACAATCTTTAGTAACAAATAAAGAAGCCTAAGCCGTGTATTACACTGTGATAAAACACAACAGGCATTTGAGAACACAAGGGAATGTAGAAAACACAAGCCACAGGCAAGTGTTTTCTACATTCTTGAATGTTCTCAAATGTCTGGAGTGTTTTACCACAGCATAATACACAACTTAGGCATCTTCATTTGCTTTATGATATAGAGGTAATGTGATGAAAAACATTAAAACATGCTCNCTAAATTTAGCAAAATATATTACTTTAGGAATGTTCCAAGGTTGAATGAATGTGTACTTGTTTTTCCTTTGTGCAGTGGACCTGGATAGCTCAGAGTTCTCTGCAGGCCATGCCGGCAGTCTCCTTGCTGCTTTGGTGCAGCGGCGAAATGCAATGGCTGCTGCTGCTGCTCAAGGTCAGACTTCACAGGGAGGCTATGGTCTTATGTCACAAGTGAATGGCAACATGGCCTCTATGATGCGACCTAGCAACATGGTCGGACAGCAAAGAGCAATGGGTCCCATGTCTCAGATGGAGATGATGAGAGCACAGATGCCGCGAAGCATGGGTGATATGAGCCCTGGTGGGATGATGGGATACAGTGCTACGACGACCAGGAATGGGCAAACCAACGTCAAGAACACAGTGGACACAAGTCAAAAGGGTGGGTACCCACAAGTCATGAGTGACAACATGGGTGGAAGAGAAATGATGTCTGGGGCATGGCCACACCAGGGTGTCATGCCCAGGCCAATGAGAGAAGGAGAGATGAAGCCATCACCTCCATCTGTACCAATGTCTCACATGTCGCAAATCGATTCAGCTGCACCTCCTGGGATGTACACAGGAATGCGACCGCCAGCAGGACCATCAGCTGGTCGAGGAACGACTTCAGGCTATCCTTACTACCAGTAGCCTGAAGACACTTGTTTTACATATTGAAGCATCGCTTAGTTCAGCATGCACAGTGAACTCCACCAGCCCGGAGTTAATTTCTTTCTAGTTTTTACATCAACCTGCCGGATCATTCAAACTGGTCATGGAAATGAACAGCGGTCCTGGTGTTCTGTAGCTGGATGTAACACTGCAAAGTGCAGTGAACCCATCTTCCATTGGTGTCTGTTACACAAAGATTCTCTCAAATGAGTAATTAAGAGAACAGTGTTTGCTATATTATACTTTTGAAAGCATGACCTAACACCATCGGCTAATGTGAAACACATTACTTAAATGCAAAGATCTAGACCTTGTCAGTTTAAAGTATTTAACAAGTAACACAAAATGCGTGTGCATGTTCACTGATAGACAAATCTTGCATACCAATGTTAGTACATAATATAATAAACTTCAGGCAAGGGGGACAAGTTTATGATGCATATTTGTGACTGCTTTCTCTTTTCTTTAAAAAAAAGTAATTGCTCCTCCTTGAAATCAAGGTCTTGCATACAACGTTGTATGTGAAAATGAGATTCATTGGCATGAATGTGTTAACAAGCAAAACTCATTTTCATGTAAAAGGCCTTTGCAGCTGCCCTCATTTTGAGGCAGTCAGAAAGTAGTTAGCATGTAGAAATGGCAACTTGAGAACGACCTGTCATCGTGTAATTGTAGCAAAGCATTGTGTGTAATTCTTAGGCCACAGAGGTTATATTTTGCATAGTCAAGCATTCATCGCCACATTTATACATTTAGAAATGTTGATATTAGAGATTGGTCTGTTATTGATGGTTAAAACTCTAGTTTATTAATTTTGTCATTTTGACATTAGTTCTCAACACATCAGTACTGGTGTGTGCTAGATAAAGAGAGACTGAGAAAATCTGAATATATTACCTATGGCTAAAATCTTATTTTTATGTAACTGTCACCCTGAAATCTCTAAACAAAACAGCTGTGCTATTTCAATTCAAATAATATTCTGGTCAGCTCTATACATGAACCCAAAGTACATACATAGCTACAATCCCATTTAGCAACCTACAAATATCAGTTTTGTTTAAATCCCATTTCATTACTATTTTGTGAAATGGCCTACACACATTGATATTTTATCCAATGAGAACTTTTTTCCCTTTATTGCTTTTGATAGCAAGAGATTTTGTTTCTAAGATAATAATATTATTCTTACAAAGCAGTTTAAAGTTTGTGGTGACATGTATTATACCCTTGTAATATGGGCTAAAACAGGTAAAAGGAGATTTGTCTTTTCTTTAGGTAACTTAACATTTTTGTATTGTCTATATGCAGTAGCATTTTTATCATCATATGTTTTAGGTCATGTATCCTTCTCTGTGGATATCCCTAATACAGTCACCTTGCAGTGCTGTAGAGTCTCAATATCTTGAACCCTCGATTTTTCGAACCTCTCAATAACTTGAACCGAAAGTTGCTTCCCTACCCTAAGTTAACACTGTAATTTTAACCCCAATTTCTAAAGTAGCCAATTTTTTAAACCACTTTTTGTTTCCCTTGGAGTTCCAAAAAATCTGAATTTCACTGTAGTTGTGATTTATCAGGAAATCACACATCATTTTCAAGAGGTGCAATTTATACTAGAGATGTATGTTCATCGTGAGTTTATTGCAGAGTTTTTGAGACAATCCCAAATCTAACTAACCATTTGGAAAATGTTTATCTCAGCTGGATAACTCATCACTATTAGCCAAAAATGTAGGTTTTAAGAAACGTTATCAGGGCAAACCTGTCCAGAATTTTTTTTGTGCAACATCAAATTATACGTCTTATAAAGTGATGAAATCAGGGTTAATTAGCCACCATGTCTGTAAGCCAGATATAAACTTGTGTGTCACAGATGAATTATCTTTCTAAGTAATAACTTGTCTCTAGTGCAAATATTAAGCCATTATTTTCTGAGCACCATTTTATCCAAAGAGGAGGATCACATCAAACCACATGAGAGTTCTTGTAGCATATTTGAGGAAAAAGTATGGGAGATCGAATTACTAGTGCACAGGTCGAAAAATTTTACATGTAAGAAGCACTTTGTCTTATTGATGTAGGTTTAGCTTTAGTAACTTGATGTAGTGTAATAATAAAGACAGTAACTCTTTTGAGGTTTGTCGCGTCTATGACTGATTTTATGCGGGTTGATGGGCTTTACAGTCTAAACTGAGCAAATGCTCCTTATTACAGTTGAACCCGGCTATTTCAAACTCTCAGGGGAAATGAAAGTTAGTTTGAAATTACAGGAGCTTGAAATACCTGATTGTAAGTGATTGAAGGGCAAATCCAAGGGAGAAGGTTTTGAGCGCAAAATAATGGGGGATTCAAAATAGCCGAGTTCAAATTAGCTGGATTAGAGTGTAATTGAATTCAATTAATTTTGATTTCATTCCTTGTTTTAAACTTCCACTGTAACTACTTGATCCAAAGTCAAGTTTTGATTGAACTACTGCACCTTTTAATTGGCCAGAATTTCAGTCATCTATTGGGTTTGCGCACTTTCGAGAGTGCAAATTGAATAGATAGGGCTGTCGCGAAGGGCCATAACCCGTAACATCCGTTACAGCTGAGTTCCGTTAATGTTGTGGGTGAGGATGACCATTTTTGTTACAACACATACTTGCATAATTGATTTATAAATGTTTAAGAAAACTCATCTGGTGTTAGAACAATTTCTGGAGGGGCTTGCCCAACACGCCCCTAGATGCTCGGATGCGGAAGGCCATCATAGCATGACTGTTCGCCACTTATTCCACTGCTCTGGGTGACAACTTCGATGTAAAGGCTGAAATTCAGGCTACCGTTTAATAACATGGGAAACTTGGCACAATGTACAGGTCTGTTTCTTCCAGACATCATAGAATTGTGGAAAGAGCACACCTCCCTCCACCCAAAAATGTCTCGAAAGTTAATCCCAGAGTAACTTAATTGCACTTGCCACTTGTGTTTAAACTTAGTAACGCATCAGGGGGACACTGATCTCTGGTTTCCCAAGCAGGAAGAGGCAAGGAGTAGTTCTATCCCTGCCTGGATGGGATGCTAGTCCAATGCAGGGTTACCTCCAGCATTGAATTTTTCAGTACCCATACACCTTAGTGGAGAGAGGCCAGGTGTTTGCATAGTATGGGACCAAACCCTGACCACTCAATCCAAATCTAGCACACTAATTATTAGGCTACTGCAGATACCACTGTTTATGAGTGAGGCTTACATAACTTGCGAGTCTTTGGGTAAGCAACATGCAACAGGGAAATGAGTCAAGGTGCATAAAAACTATGACATGTAAAAACAGGATATATCCCTAAGCCTGTATTTCTTTCTCCTACTACCTCTGGACTACCGTAAAGGGCCACTTTGTGGAAATACCACTGCAAATTTCCTATTATTATTACTCTCAATTACAATCACAGCTACACTTCTAGAATCAAAGTAGTCTAGTTCTTGCCCTCTTTCTGTCACACAAAGCTCCAGGCATAGTCAAACAATGAACTGATAATCAATATTACC